AGAACTACCCAAACCACCAACCACTCCGATTAGGAACGAACTGCCTCTGAACTTGAATTATCAAATTTCTTACACCTATTGGTTTCGGATCGAGCCCAAAACTTGGCCAACGTCATAATATGGTGGGAGGAGTCATTTGGTTAAGTTTGAGTGAAATCCGATCTCTAGAACTTCCCAAAACACCAACCACTCCAATTAGGAAAGAACTGCCTTTGAACTTGAACTTTCCAATTTCTTACACCTATTGATTTCGGATCGAGCCCAAAATTTGGGAAACATCATAATACGGTGGGAGGAGTCATTTGGTTAAGTTTGTGTGAAATCCGATCTCTAGAACTACGCAAAACACCAACCACTCCAATTAGGAACGAACTGCCTTCGAACTTGAATTGTCCAATTTCTTACACCTATTGATTTCGGATCGAGCCCAAAACTTGGGCAACATCATAACACTACAAGGAAAATCCCTTTTAGCGACGAAACCAGTTGGTCACTATTACATGATATTTCGTCGCCAACGATAAATAGCGACGAATATTTTTGGTCGCCAAGGTCGTCGCTGCAAGCTCGTCGCTAAAAGTACCATGCGACGAAACAGAATTTCGTCGCTAAAATAACTTAGCGACCAAAACACGTCGTCGCCAATTAGCTCAAAGTTGGTCGCCTATAGAGAGGGAGTTGCCGCCAAAAAACCAAAAATTCCCGCGAAATGGAATTATTTAGCGACGAAATATATGTTTGGTCGCCAAAGATGGGAGTTTATTTGTGGAATATGTTAGTGGGTTTACTGAATGGGCGACGAACAGATTGGTCGCTAAAAACTGCTGTCAGATTGGGCGACGATAAGAAATTCGTTGCCAAAAGTGAATAGATTATTTATTTTTTTTTGAAATAAAAATTTGTGTCAAGCTTTGTAACAGAACATTATTTAGTCCATAAAGTTTCTGAAAAACACTAAATAGATGAAATTAATAAAAATCGCATAATTACTGTTCAGAAGATACTAGTTTAAGCATACATCAATGTAGCTAGATACAAAAAACCCCAAGGTATGCTAAAGATACAAAAACCATCAAGTAGCTAGATATAGAAACCCTCTAGAACCCCCCAAGGTATGCTACATATAAAAACCATCAAGTATGTAGATGTACACACAACCTAATGAATATTTACAATATCATCAAGATCATCATAAACATTACGTGAACCACCACTATTACCTTGATCACCATCACAAGAAGAATCACCAGTATGCTGGGATGGAACATCTAAATGTGAGGGTACAGGACCGCATCCACTCAATGACATTCAAAAGTTTACCCACTGTGCCAGCTCACAAACTATGCCTTTCAACTCACCAACTGTGCCTTGAAGTTCCTCAACCTTTTTCTCTGTAGCAAAAGAGGAGGCAACTCGACCACTATGCGAACTCTCCACTCGGAGACTAGAACCCAAGCCTCGAATCCTCTTGCCCTTTGCAACCCCAAGTTCTGCAGTCATGATCTCTAACTGTTGTGGGATAGGGAGTGCGATTTGATCTAGTGGAGTTCCTAAACTCTCTGCCACTTGTTGCTTGGCCTTCTTATACTCTTCATACATCTTCTACAAAAAGAAGCAAAATAAAGATATGTCAATATTATAAATGCATAAAAAGAATGAAGTGAATGGGATGCTAGTACCACCAATGGCGTTCATAAATCAGCAGTGCCAATTATCCAAATCAGTCACAAACAAAAATAAAATCAACTTGAAGCAAATAATAAAAGGAAAATGCACATAAAAAATGGAATATATCTCTTTGGATATACAGATTGCAGAAAGTTTGAAAATACTCACAGGTCTTATAAGATCCTTTTTCTGCATCTCCCCAAAGAACAATACAAACAAGAAACTTCGAAAAACAGGGATTATAAATATTTTCCCAGCAACATGGCCCCCTTATAATTGGGCCTAAATTTGAACTTCTAAGAGCACAACGGGTTATTAGAGCTGAATTTGTTTAATTGGAGTTTGGAATTGGGCCTCCAAAGAGGAAGAGAAGTACAACTGCAGGCAGCTCAGTTTCAAAACAATCTTAGCATGCACGTTATTTTGGTCATCAATATATAAGATCATGGAAAATTTAGAAAACTTACACATATCTTCTTTGTATTTCTAATTAATTAGTTCTATTTGCAATGGATAAAGTCTTTATATGATGCTAAAACCAAGGTACACAATTAGCATCTAAAATAATGGGTCGTCAAAAACTTGCATAACCAGTCGGCTGATTTTGATTTTGATTGCAGATTATAAACTAAAAAGCCATGAAGAGTACATGCATGTCACATATATATGCAAGTCAATAGTTAATTGTCAGCAGGTTTATGTATTCCTTACCCCTTTAATTTCAGCAGCCTCATTGATCGACAGGCTCTTATCCTTACACATACACATGTTGTTCCAGTAGCTAATGTATGTAGGATTTTCACCTTTCTACATTTTCCCAACAAAAAGAAAATGAGAAATACTTGAAATTATTACAATATAATAAATAAAGAAAGATTTCAACTGGCCTAAAATTATAAACCTCTTTAACACCATCCATGTGTTTTAGGAAAGAATGTGACCCCATGTATATATGATCAAACTTCTTTTTTCTTTTTTTTTTTCTCTGTTCTCAGCATTGGCCTTGCAACATTTCTGTTTTGATTATATACATGAATTGTTAATTTTTTTTTTCTTTTTCTATTTGATACTTAGAATAAGTTCCCAATCAAAAAATGAAAACTGCAGATGTTATGAGACATTAAATACCTGATATTACTCATTTGTGTACAACGTATCAACCAAATAATGTCACTCTTCTAGAGTCCTTCGAGTACCAAACATCTTTTCAGGGGGAGGTGTTGCTCGTGCAAGTTAGGATCCGTTAAGTCCACATCAAACATGAACTAATATCAATTAACCATAAACAAAACAAGTATTAGTTATAATTTTTCAATGCAAATAGAAACATTGACTCACCCTTGTATATATTGCCACAAGCTTTTTATTTGCAAGTCCCTGAATTATGAATTAAGTTGCACATACTACAAAGCAGTATTAGATAAGATTACCTGCAATCCCAATGCCATATCTTTCTTAGACTCCAAGCTCACTTTTTTCATCCCTAAAACATTCAATGGAGCTTTATTGCGAGTGATTAACCCAATCTCAGAGACGAACAGTTTCTAAGCCTCAATAGTTGCCACCAATTTCTGGGATGGATCCATCCGTATTGGAAACAAACTCTTCCTCTTTTTAACAACATCACAAGTGCCAGCTCCCACAGTTCGGCAACGAGTGTTCTTCCCCTGTGAAGAAGTCTGAGTATGCGTTCCCTCATCTAGAAGACAAAAAT